GAAACCAAGTACTCGAAAGGTGTATTAATCTTTACAAGATTAGTAATCTTGTAAAGATTATTAATTCCTAATCTTGTAAAGATTAATTGAGTCATGGGAAAGCTGAACGAATTGTTCGTGAATGACACATCACTAATTAGTACACCTTTCCGGTCCGCGGTTTCGAGTCGTTCGTTTTTGGAACATGATATGACCGCTTTGTTGGATACAGAATTTAGTTAATTTTCAACCGTCCTTACAGGTTCTTACTCTTACTGTTAACTAATGCATTTATTTTTATTAGATAATAGCTTTTTATTTCCTACAGACTATATTTTTGTGAATACCTGGCAATATGGTTCTTTTCCATAACACTGAATGTTTTAATAAAGAGTTGGTTAATGCTTTAAACTTCATCAGGGAAAATCTTTTTCTTTTTTTCTTATGTACTTACTTTTATTTATTCTTTGTATTAACAAATACAAACATCTGAATCAATATCAGCTAACCCTGCAGTGTAGAAAATAGAAATGTCTAAATTCATGCATAAATCTGAGTGCTGTTTTTAATCTATATATAATAATAGTAAAGATTGACTCTTGAATTGTTGTTTATTTCTATTTATATGTAGATGGGGAATTAACATGTAACATTTTAATTGCATTCTGCTTTAGTGAACGAAATGACTCAAATAAAGATTAGTTCATTTTGCTGAACGAGATTCAAAGAACCGAATTAGTAAAATGATCCGAACTTCCCATCACTAGTAATGGTTTATAAATGACCTATGGAGTTATCAGTAAATATATTAATCACAAAGCTAAAAATAGCAGCTTATAACCTGGTAATAAAGGTGCACTAAAAGTCAATATTTTTAAATTCATTAAAATCTTGAATATTATATATGAGAATTGCCTCGTATATACTGTAAGTGCAATTGAACTGGCCCATCTTGCAGATCACATCTTTTTCTTACAGTGAGCCAACATCCAATCAGAGTCGAGAGCACCTAAATCTTCGGCTTCTGATTGGCTAAAAGCCCAACGCTTGTTGGTGAATCTGTTCCGTTCATGTTTACATATGTGTGTTAGCGCTTCACTGTGCGACAAAACAAAACTTCAACACCACCCGGAAAACAACAGCAACATTGCGACATTGAGGCTGCCCAGTAGATGTTACTGGACACGCCAGAGGACACACTTTTTTTCTAACGGTAATGCACCGTTTACATGGTTTTTAGCCGTTTAAAAGTAGACTGTTATAGTGCCTAGCTAGCTAAAATTGCCCTGGCTAAGGGGAAGTTGGCATCCCGTTACCACAGCAACGTATACGCTTCTTTATACCGCGTGCTGTTAGCCTTAGGTTTAATGTTTGCTAAATTTTTAAGATACTGACAAAGTGAAGCGTTCAAAGTGTGTCACGCGAAAACAGAAATGCCTTTGCTTTCTTGAAACAATGTAAATTTAGTGCAAATTCTGTTTGTTAATTTATTTTCTGAATAGCAAACGCCGGGTGTTAATGTTACACCGTATTCTGTGACTTCAGGTCATGCGCAGAGCCTATTATTAACTAAAGTATGGGTATGTGTGCCTCCAAAACCTCGAAAAGGACAAAAGGATGAATGATTTGCTCATCAACCCGTAAGTCCCCTTCAAAGCCTTTGAATTCAGGGTTAGATTCCCACTCCTTTCTGTATTTTTGAACGCACAGTTTAGACTGAGACAGCTGGATGGCTAGCTAGATGTTTAGCTTATGTCACAGAGAGGCGTACACACAGTGGGTGAGGTGAGTAAGTGACTGAGGCTGAGTCAAATGTAGTGATTTATTTTAGTGTGACACTGAAGAAACGTTTACATTTACATCCCACTCTGTAAGACAGGGCGAGATCAGCGGCGGCTTTGCGCATGCGCAATTCATTTGCAATCTGGACGAGGGGCGGTGTGGATCTCCTCTCGGCTGCTGGGACTGCCGCGCGAGGCTACAGTGAGACTGACTGACTGACTGACTGACTGACCGACCGTGAGTGCTTTGGGACAGTGGAGGGGCTCACGGCAGCACCCACTGCTAGTTGAGTACAGTAACTGCAGAGCGATACGTGCTTTCGTCAGAGTCTCCAAAACATCAAAAAAGTCTCCAATAACACCAGAAAAAGTCGCTAGATTTGTCGCTAGTCGCTTTTGACAAAAATCTCACCAAGAGGATTTGGAAAGTCGCCAAGTTGGCAACACTGATTTCCATCAAACCACGCTCGTACGCGCGCGCGGCAGCCGCGAACAGCGGAGATGAGCCTGGGGAGGAGGAAGTGCGCTCTGTGGAGCAACAAGTGGTAGCCTTTCTTCAGAGCAAAGCAATTAAGCTGGACCCGGAGTGCACTGAAGCATGCCACCCTCTACCTAGAAGGATCAACAACGACAGACCTGCGGTTATTCTGAGATTTGTCAGTAAAAAAAAAAATAACACGGCATTGTTAAAGCAAGGTCGCAAACTCAAAGGGACGAATGTATATATACATGAATACTTAACAAAAAAGAATACAGATATAGCCAGGAAAGCAAGATACCTCAAGAAACAACAAAAAATCCAATACACATGGGTAACAGATGGCAAAATCTTAAGCAAGTTGAATGGATCCCCTGAGGAGGGGAAAATTCTCATAATAAGAAACCTTGAGGACTTGGACAAGTATCAGTGACCACAATGCAATTTATCATCTGGTAACAAATAAGGTCACGTCTGACCTACACTATCACAATGAGTACTGAACCACATATAGGTGGTCAAAAGAATAACTACACAGAGACAGATCTATTGCGGAAAATTGAACAACTTCAACAACTGGATCTGGGTGCAGTGGAATACACTGAGTTTAACATGCATGAAGTAGAGACAGATATTGATCCTGATAATTTTCTTTCTACCATAAATAATAACTAATTATTATACAAATGAACAATACTCTAATAATTTCATTACTAAGGATAAATTGTCTATTATCCATTTCAATAGTAGAAGTATGTATACAAATTTTAATGTAATAAGAGAATACTTAAAGAATTTTGTTTATCCCTTCAGTGTTATATATCTGAAACCTGGTTTTTGTTAACATTAATAATTAAGGAGGCAGCTATGTTCTTTTGTTTTAATTGTGGGTTTAAATAAGTTTGACTTCTTCCCACTCCGTTTTGAGCAAATCATTGATCTATGTTGTTAATGTAAGGTGACTATACCTTGTATGGATCGAATGCTTTTTATTGCCTTATTATATGTTGTTATTGCTTGAAATAAATAAATAAATAAAATACGTCAGGTACAAAACTATTAGCATCAAACTATATTTAAAGTAGCCACTGTGCAGAATGGCACATTTCATATATAATAATTAATTACTGATGCAGTATTATGTTCATCACTTTAATGTTGCAACTGGTAAAGGTGGAGCTAATGTTAGCTGTCTTTTATACTTAGAATTTGAGGCACTTTACAAGCTGCTGGGTAGGGTGTGAATTTCCTACCAGGGATCAATAAAGTCTTATGATTATACTGTATTTTGTTTTATTGATCTGATTCTGAAAAGTAACAAACGTTATTATCAAATACATGTAGCACAGTTAAAAAGTACCTACCTCTGAAATGTAGTGACGTCAAAGTAAGTACAGGACTGAAAGTACTCAAGTAAAGTATAGATACAGTACATCATCTATTCATCTTGTAGAGCAGAATTGGAAAACATTTCCACATCACCAGGAATAACAACTTGCATATCCATGGCACAGACTGTTCTTAGTTACATGTCCTCCAAACTAAATGACTAAACAGGTTGTGTTGCTTCCCTTATTTATTAACACACCTGAAATAATCTCTTGTTTTTCTACACAGGCAAGTTCTCCTACCCACATTTACACTAATATCACTCCATAAAAACACACCATTGTCACATTAAATTATAACTGCCCTGCTGTGTAATTATAGGAGAGCTTCTGTGGCCATGTGACTCTCTCTTTTTCACTCTCACAAACACACAAGGTTTTCACTCGTACAAATTAAATACTTGCGTGTACATCTGTGCCTCGTCACACCAGTGCTGGAAGCTTAGCATGTGATCTGTAGAGCATTGTAATAAAGACACAAGGTAGATCAGTAAGTGTGGAAGGGTGTAAGATGTCAACTAATGATTAATTAATGTTGCTTGATTGATCAATCATGCAACCAGTGTTGGCCAATTCGTGCTGTTCCTCCAGTTTATTATCACCCTATCTGATTCATACTTGGCTGCCTGTGGTGACAAATGGAAAATATAAAATGTCTTGTTTGTCTGCTTTCTGCTCTTCTTTGCTAAGTGTTTGACTGACATTTTCACTTCTACCTGTGCTTTCCTTTTAGTGTCTTCTGTGCAGCTTCACTGCAGGTGCTCCATTTCCACCTGGCTAAGAAGATGATTGATGTCTATTCTGTTCATTTACACCACACAATGCCGCCACAGTTTTCAGCAGAGATTTTAACAACTTGAGGCGTTGAATATCACTTCTCCTGTTTCAGAGAACAAATATCAGGGATTATCCCTTTCCACTTGCTCCCTGCTGAGCTCTCCTACTCAGTTTCTAACTGGTCACCGGATCCACCACTGGGCCTGTTGCTGGAGTGTGTAAGTCAATCTGAAATGAGCCATCCTTATAATGAGACAAATCTTCTCTGCTTTCTAAGGACTCCAGAGACAGACGGCGCATGAGCTTGAGATGTGGCTCACTGGTTTGTCTGCTGAGGAGTGTGACAGCAGCTCAAAGGGATCCTGAGACCAAGATTCCTGTACCATCTAGTTGTGGAGGCGGACACACGGAGGCAACATCTTCCAAACCCTGTATCCTCACAAATGTAGGCTTAACGGTACAGGTGAGTAGCGGTCACTTCTCACATTATGTTCGCAAGACTTGACAGTAAATAAGGTTAATCGTTAGTCATTTTGTTAGGTACACCTCCAGTAAGACTAGTGTAGTTTAATTAATAGAAGAGTCCTGGATAATAATCCTCAGTTTTTGTTGCAATAGAGAGGTGTTTGTTTTGGAGGCTGTGGTTTGTCCTGCGGTTGCTGAATTATGCAACTATTTATAGTTCGATTTAAGTTAACTGGTGTGTTATATCACTTAAACGAGAGTTAATGCTAACTGTGCTGAAATAATTGGATGTTTATTTAATAAGTTAATCAATAGAAATTTAGCTGATGGTGATTTTGATCATTTTTCATCTGAGCTACTGCTATTTCACAATATTACAAATTAAATACTGGGTAACTTGTAATAGATGTTTGGAATTATGTTTGCTTGTTTTAGAGACCAAGCAATTTATAATTGAAAGAAAAATATGTTTTATGTTGTGACCCTAATCTGAGTGTTTGTATGTGGAAGCAAGTGCGTTAATATAGATTTTAAAAGTTTGTGCATTCTATTATGTACAATTCATACATTTGTCCATTATATTACATTATGGGAGCAAACAATTTATCTAAGCATGCACTCTGTTACAAGGTATTATCTGAAACTGCACGTGTCTCCTTGAAACAACCTATTTTAGTCTTTAGTACTGCACATGGTTTTTAAAGGAGCTCAGGTGTTAGCAAGTGCTAGCGTGGCCTGAATACTATGTAGCTTACAAAGCCTTTTTTACTCAGCACAGTCATAGTTCACTGAGGATAGATAACATGAAGCAGTTATTCATGTGCATGTTGTTGCACTCTGAGCGACAAGCATGAATAAATCCTTTGTGGGCTGTAACTCTACCTGGACTGAGGTCAGTGGGGCGTCTCAGTCCAGTGTCAAGCTCACAGTTCATGGTCAGAATTATCCAAATCACTGGATCAGAATACTGTTACCTAGCACCCTAACCTCCCACAGTGCACTTGGGATGTCCCTCTTTCCTGCCACCACACCACAGTTATTGCCGGGAGTTAACCTGACCTCACCTTCAGTCTATAAGATGCCAGATAGGACACAGAGGCGAAGAGCTAAGACACTGCAGCACATCTGTGGGAACGTCTGCAGCAGTGCTGTCTGTCCCAACTATGTTTGATTTCAGTTGTAGAAAGACTGACACAAGTGTGTTCGGCTGTTGGCTCACACTAATAACAACTGGAAAAATGGAGGTGACCCCAAAGTTTGAACGGTGGTATAAGCAAAAGGTGCTACTGTATGTGGCACTGTCTGCGGCCCCTCTGTTCTGCTTGGCGTTAGGATTAATTGCCCTCAGTATTGTTGTGGTATTACACACTATTTGTATCTGTCCTGCCACAATAACTCTTGAATGCTAGTGTGTGACAATGTGCTGACACTCACCTGATGCCAGAGCACTCAGCTGATGAAAGAGATGGAAACGGAAACGCGATGCCATGCGTCCACTCACAGCATGTACTTCGGTCTGTTTGATTGAATTTCACTATGAGGCCGTACAGCGCAGCCCATTAAAAAAGAACTATGTAAATGAGTGCTGAAAATGGAATGGCATCATTTGTTTTTGTTGTGAATCTCATCACATGAGCGTTTTCCATTTGTTCATAGTCCCCTGAGTCCATTTGTTTCTGTTGGTGTGCATCCAGGATGGGTCTACCTCTGGACAGCCCAGACAGAAATGATGATGCACATAAACATGAGCAGCAGGGGGAGAGAGGTGGAAGCCAAACTGAAGCCTGCACCCACACCCCACCCACACCCACCACCAAGAAGAGGAGTAAAAGCAAGAAGAGGTACTTTACTGCTGAATTTCTCATATTTTTACTTCTGCACCTATTTCCCATTGCTGGTATATTAACCACCGAGCACCCTGACAGTTATGATTTTATCCTGGAGGCGCTTGTTGTCTCACGTCCTCATCCCAGCGTGAAAGGAAGCTGAGTGTAATGAAGCATTTGTAGGACCTTGCAGCAAAGCAGATGTCTGTCCCTCTCTCTGTCTCTCTTCTCTTCCAGATGACTGTGGATCAACCTCACCAACTGCAAATATGAGAGTGGTATGTTTGGTCCAAAGATGACTGAATCGTAAACGTCTGCTCTTCTGTTGTTTAGTGCAGATATCCATGTGAATCTGCATTATCCCAGTTGTTAATGTTCTACAGATACTTCAGCCATGTGGAGTGAATTCTTAGAGTGAAACAGAGACCGTACAGGAACATGGGGAACACTATATATACACTACATGGCCGAAAGTATGTGGAGAACTTATTCAAACTGCTTGGACCCCTTAGTTCCATTTAAAAGAATTCTTAAAGCTACAGTGTGCACTGATATTTTGTAGGGACAGTTCCATTTCTATTTCAACATGACAGTGCCCTCAAGCACAAAACCAGCTCAATAAAGAAAAGTCTTCCCAGTTTGGTGCGGAAGAACTCAGCTGACCTGCCCAGAGCCATGACCTTGACTCCATCCAACAGCTTTGGGATGTACTAGACTGTGAGCCAGGCCTTATCACCCAGCATCAGTGTGGGACCTCAGTAATCCCTTCAGCAGCAACATCTGGTGGAAAGACTGACAGCAGCGTGGAGGCTGTTATAGCAGCAGATTAATGCCTGTTATTTTGAAACAAAATGTTCTTTCAGATGAAAAATCACATAAGGGTGTAATGTTTGGCTATTCACATACTTTTGCCCATGTAACATTAATACCATCATATGGTTTCCGGTTAATCAGTAGGTCCTACATGAGTCCTTGTAGCAGAAATATTTGGACATGCACTTCAGTAATTAACACGTATATGCTCATAACAGTAAAAATACAAAACGGGATAAAAATAATGTCAGATCTAAAAGATAGGCCTTTCAGTTCTTTTTAAAGAAGATATAGGAAACCATCAGGAACATGTAAAAAAATGTTTGTTTGATTTGTCTCAGTGCGACGAGCTGCTCGACGATATGGCCTGAAGGAAGCGTCTGAGGGTGAAGACTGGACGCTGTTTTGGACCGACTGCTCCGTGTCTCTAGAGCGTGTTAAGGACATGAAGCGTTACCAGGTACGGCACTGCTAATGCCAACACTCACATTAGTGCCATCAGCTAAAACAACTGAATTCAGCACTGTGGAATAATCGTCTGGATATTTAATTTGTACATCTGGACATTGATCAAAAAAAGGCTTGTCTTTCCTGTGAAATAATGGAAAATACAGGTTACATTTGTCTTCTTAGGGCAGTGTGCTCTGAGCTTGTAGCAGTTTCTCCAAGCAGTCTATTTGTAGTCTGAGTGATTCAGTGCAGTTACTATTGAGCAGGCTGTTACCAATGTACCACAGTCTCCTCTTGAAGTATGAATAAGATGAATCGGTTCATTTTATCATACCCCATTCAGGCTGTGCATAGTCACAAATAAGAATATATAGTTTAGTATCAGTGGCAATAGTCCACACTGAATTTTTCTCATGTAAAAACAAGTGCGTGGGTTTTATTTGTCTTTGCAGAAAATCAACCATTTCCCTGGGATGACTGAGATCTGCCGCAAAGATTTACTGGCCAGAAACATGAACCGCATGCTCAAGCTCTTCCCCAAAGACTACAACATCTTCCCCAGAACATGGTGCCTTCCCGCAGAGTCAGTTTGTACTTTCTGTCCTGTTATTTTGTTTTTCCCAGTGTGACTCAACAGACTAACTCCTGATTTGATTCTACTCTGCAGTTACAGTGATTTCCAAGCTTACACCAGGGCCAAGAAAAACAAGACGTATATCTGTAAGCCAGACACAGGTTGCCAAGGCAAAGGCATCTTCATCACCAAATCGAGTAAAGACATTCAGCCTGGAGAACATATGATCTGCCAGGTTTACATCTCCAAGGTGAGTCTGTGAAACAGCGCACACAGCACCAGCACAAAAACACAGCATGGAGTTGAAATGTGATTTTATTCCCTCCTCAGCCTCTCATCATTGATGGATACAAGTTTGACTTGCGTATCTATGTGCTGGTGACATCATGTGACCCACTCAGCATATTCATGTTCCAGGAGGGACTGGCTCGATTCTGTACCACCAAGTACAGCGAACCAACACACAGCAATGTGGTAGGAATTGTTCAGAGATAAGTCTGGTGGCACTTTGTGTTCCAGCTACTGCACATTGCTGGTTTTGGTCATTGATGGTTTTTATTGCAACATAAAAACAACATTATCCTTTAAAGACCAGGAGCAAGATGTTATGATCATTATCTTGTATGTTACAATATAAGGTGATATTTGATAATGTTGCATTATTGGTCCTATAGTAAATAATCTGCATCCTATGAAGGACTATACAAAAAGGAAATAATGATACATAAATAGTAGGAATGCAATAAAAAGCAAGGATTTAACTCTGGTTGGATGAGAATAAAACACAAGAATAAAGGTTAACAGCCTGGACTGCAGCTATTATTTTCATCTTTGATTCTTGTTATTTTTTTAACTAATCATTAATCATTTGGTTTGTAGAATGACAACAAACTGGGGAAAAGTTTTCAAAGCACATTTTAAAATGTGTATGTAGTTTTTTTCCTCCAACCAACAGATTAAAGAAAACTAGAAAATAGTCACATCTCACATTAGGGAAGCTACTTTTGCTCATAAAATTGCTTCAACAGTCATTTAGTTATTAAAATGTTCTGTTGCTGAACTAAATTTAAAAGGCTAAGCTCATATGGCGGGCTACCCTCATATACATATCACTGTATATTTGCTCCTCTTCTGTGATGTGCCTGTCTTGCATTGTCTTTCTAATGCCAGGAAGATGTGTGCATGCATCTCACCAACTACTCCATCAACAAGTACAGTGAGAACTTTGTCCGTGACGAGGACGCTGGCAGCAAACGGTAAAAACATCCTGTGCATGGCGTCTGCTGTGTAATATCACGTTTTCCTTCAGATGACTCAGCGTGGTTCTTATTGTTGTGTCCTGCAGAAAGCTTTCCACCCTGAACAAGATCCTGGAGTCCAGCAATTGCAACACAGAGAAGATGTGGAATGACATTGAAGACGTAATCATAAAGACTCTGATCTCTGTTCACCCCATCCTCAAGCACAATTACCTCACCTGCTTCCCCAGCCACACCACTGGCAGCGCCTGTTTCGAGATCCTGGGCTTTGATGTGCTGATGGATCACCGGCTCAGACCCTGGCTGCTGGAGGTGAAGGGCCATGAGACCTCTGTGTATTATATTGTATATCAACCATTCATGTGCAGAGTAGTTACTGTTGTCAACTTCAGGTTCTCAGGTTTTTTACAACCTTCTGTGTTAAGTCATGTTTAGCACAGATGGGAGAAAAGTATGAATGGAAAAGTCCCTCTTAATAATTCCCCCTCCCCCCCTTAAAGCTACAGTATGTAACGTTTTTCAGAGAATTTTTTTAAAATTTATTTTCAGGCTTGTGTGCCTTTATTAATTAGTCATTCATGTAGAGGTGGACAGAACACAGGGGAAATGGAGACCTACAACAGAGTCAAACCTCTGACGTCACAAACCCAAGCAGGGTATACGGTGCGTCACACCATAACCACTCGGCTACAAGCAGCCCCAACTTTTTCCAATATTTTTATTGTAGAAATCTGCCCCAAACCTGTCTTAATGTGGAGAGGTGTTGTTGAAGCCTCCTGTGACGCAGACTCACTGACCAGCACTGACAGCAGTGCAGAGATATTAGCTTCTAAAAGATTTTGACTGACCTCTCTGACCAATCAGCAATTTTCAATTATTTCTGCTTGATCAATAAGCTTTGATGCTTTCTCATTTATTGTAATTTTATAATGACAAATATCTGCAGAGCTGGGCAAAGCGTGGTGGAGCACAGCAGATTGTAGCAGAGCACAGTGGAGCAGGGAGAGGGAGCGCTGGGCGGAGCAGAGTGGATTGATTTGGAGCTTCATGCTAGTGCTGCTTTGAGTTACATAGGGCAGCTTTAAGTCGCTTTAATGTGGGAAAAATCTTTTTACTCTGCCTTAACTGACAGTATCATATGTACTGTATTAACTTGTTCCAGCTCTTTGTTGAACTACTGTATATGATGTGTGAAATGTTCACCCCCAATTCCATGTTTTTTTATGGCTGCATGTTTCCATAAAGTAGAAATATTTTATATGTGTTGTGCGCCATTTTATACTAGTTTTCCCCAAATTCAAGCTGACAAAATTGGAATCTTTGGACGCTTAAGAGTCTCCATTGGTATTTAAAGTAAACATTTGTGGTATTGAACAAGTTTGTAAAGAGGTTTAAGGGGTAAAATGTTGCTTAGGAAAAAGATGGTCGTATTATGATGTCCTGTCCTTCAGTATGGTTGTGCATGTGTGCCCAGGTGAACCACTCCCCGAGTTTTACCACTGACTCACAGTTGGACCGAGAGGTGAAGGATGCTTTGTTGTATGATACCCTGGTTCTCATCAACTTGGGAGCCTGCGACCGTCGCAAGATCACCAAAGAGGAGAGACGCAGGGTGAAGGACAGGCTGCAGCAAAACCACTCCAGAGAGGCCAGGTTTGGTTGTCAGATGCAAACAGCGTGTGAATGTTTCTCCAAGGTCACACATCTGCTGCTGGATGCTTCCTGTTGACATCCACTGCACCATGGAGGTGACTGTCACTGTGTGTGTGTTTTACCACCAGGTCAGAGGAGCTACGTCAGTGCCAGGTAGCCACAGTGGAGCAGATGGAGAAGTACGAGGCCAAACACCTGGGAGGCTTCAAGAGGATCTTTCCTAGAGAGGGAGGGGAGAAATACGACAAGTACTTCAAACACAGCAGCTCACTCTTCCAGGAGACTGCGGCATCCAAGGCCAGAGAGGAGTGTGCCAGGTACCTGCAGCACGCTCCCCATACTCTGTCCGGTCCAGTGAGGAGAAGCACAGAGATCTCTTCTCTGTGTGGATACATAATGTACTGTGCATGAGGCTGTGTAAGAGCCAGATCTGGTCCTAACTGACAGATCAATCAGCTGATTGGGAGAAGGTTAACAATTTTAATAACACTGTGATTTTTTATTGAGTTTCTGAGAATGAACAGTTCAAATATATCCACCCAGTGAGGGATACACACAAACTCACATTTTAATCTGAACCAGCTTAATAAAACACACACACGAAAACAGCAGCATCAGAGTGTCATGTAATTAGATGTAACTATATTCAGAAGAGTGAGATGATGAGGTTGGAGCCTCTGCAGAGTGAACTGCCCGCTCAGTGTTACAGGTCTTATAACCTGCCCAACAGGATATGAGCAGTATGAACGTGGTTTATAACACACTACGAGTGTTTGTTAATATATCTGTCAGCAACTACAACTCCTGTTGACACTCACAAGTCAAGGCTGTTGTATAAACATTTATTGAGTAAGAATATAGTAAAACACAGTTGGAATAATATGTGTTCAATGGGAGAGGTTGTAATTGTGTTAGATACTGTACATTAATAAACACATCTGTCAAGCTAGCTGCTTACAACTACAATAATGTTATAAATGGTTGTATACTGCTTATAAATGCTACACAGGGACTTACAGTAATGTTTTGCCTACCTTGGTAAATACACTCAGAACATTTAGCTGACAGTACTTTAACTTAAAAAAACATTTGAATGCATGACTTTACCTCTAATGGAGTGTGTGATATTGCTATTTTCACAACTTTCGAGTCCTTCCACCACTGGACATTTGCTGATGAGGGGGTGGATGTGGGTACAACAGTGAAGATAAAGTGAAAATAATCTAGTAGCAAATTATCTAAAATCCTTACACCATATCAGAGAGAGATGCTGCAGTTTCTGTGTATTTGTGTGGTTAGACAACAACTGCAGGAGCTGCGTCTGAAGCGGGAGCAGAAGGAGAAGAACCAGAAGGGAGGGCGGAAGAGAGACCTACAGGGGGAGACGGCAGGGGAGCCAGTCAAACCACGACTAGCAGCAGCACAACCCCCCAGCTTGAGCCGTGATCTGAGGCCGGTGAGGCAGCAGTGGGAAAGATGCAGTGTCCACATGAAACCACAAGAGGGAGTCGACCAGCTTCTATCCCATGATGAATGGTTCATATTCTGGCTGACCCCTCAGTGTAAATTCACCCAATTTAAATGAGCTAGAATAATATTCCTGCAGATAACTTTTATTGGATGTCACTCATTTCAAATTTAAATTTGTTTTATTGTCAAGACAGGAAAAATAAACTGTGTTATAAAGGTTATTCAGTGACAGTAACTGCTATGCATTCTGGTGGCTACATATCCAGAAAGGCAATAAAGCCAAATTGAATCAAATGTCTGTCTGTCTCTCTGCAGCCCCCTCTGTCCAGTGTGATGGTGGATCCTGCAGCTACTGAAGTCCAAGAGCAAAAGCAGCAGCAGGAGGCGGAGGCAGACAGGGTGGAGCAGGAGCGGATTGACGCGTTGATCCAGAGGAAGAAACTACTGCAGGACCTAGGGGTGGTGGACCAGATCCAGCAGCTGCTGCAGGGCCGAACAGAGGGAGGCAGAGTCCCACAGGATGCCAAGGACACCTACACCCACCTGCACAGTAAACTGACACAGGTAAGAGGTGACTGCAGGGACTTGAGTTGACCTTCAGTGAGTCATAAGCACAAGGATGTTAACAACCTGCACAGTGTGTTGCAGCATTAAGTACGGTCTCAGTTGACTGTTTTTCTTCTATTTCAGTTGGATTCTTTGACACAGTTTTCTCAAAGACCAAGGCAGCAGCAGCAGCCCTACACTCAGATCTCACTGCAGGTACATGGCCAGATCCAGTCAAGATAATCCAACAAGAAACTAGGAACATAAGATGCCCTGCCCCTTTTATACAATGTTACCCAAATAATCAATTCCGATTAAAGGAAAATTAAAGATCATCTATTATAATTTTTTGCAGCTTTACACTTGTACTGTAACTATTGGGCTGTAACTAATGATAGTTCTGCCACTCATTTTCATAGTTCAATCTTTAAACCTATAAAATGTAAAAGAAAAAGTGAGTCTATGGTGACATCTTCAGTTTTCTTGTCTCCAATCAACAGTTCAGAAACTAAATAATTTTAATTTAATATCTGACACTACAGCAACAATCAGTAACTTCTCCCATCAAAGAAGCAGAAATCAGAGAATATCTGGTGTTTTCATTTGAAACATGACCAAAAGTATCCCAGTGTATCTCCACATGCATCAGTTAGTTTAGTACTACTGGTAGTAGTATGTCTGGGAATATATTAACAGAACTCAAATCATAATATTTACAAATAACTGTCAGTGAAGAATCAAAAGTATTAAGAGTTGAAATCGTGGCTCATTGTCTGTCGTTGCATTGCCTGGCTGTGAATACCAGTACTGCAGTATTGGATAATTATTGTGACATGGAAATCCAGTGGTATAATGTCATTGCTGTATGGCAGCACCTCCCCTCCCACATGACTCGACCACCTTTACTGAGGCTTCCGTTTGACCAGAGGAGCCTGAACGAGTCGACCTGTCTGCAGCACGAGCCCGAGAGCCAGAGCAGAGCACAGGAAGCACAGAGGACGATCAGTACCGAGCAGATCCACTGTCCAGGTACACACACTGACAGACATGACCTCAGTGCAGCAGCAAGAGGAAGGTGAACATGAGCTTTGTCCTTTGGTTCCTTCCCGAGCTTTAGTGTAACAAACTCCTCTGGGCTTTTTTCTCAGCTGCACAGTCACTATTTACTGCTTTGTCTATTTGTTCTATGTTTTTGTACAAAATACATAAATTAAAAACTTCTCATCTATTACTACTGTAGTCTAGAAATACATGTAGATATAATAAAAACAACTGGTTTGTTATTAAAAATATCACAAATTGCCTCATAAATTTAAATGAAGTGAGGAAAGTGGGAGGAAGCAGCGCTAACAGTAGTACTCACCATATGAAAATATAACAATACGTGCATCACATTTACCTACAACAAAGACGAAGATGATTCAGCTTCAATAATTACTCTTCATTTAGACATGCAGCTCTTATTATCATTGCACTGTTTTGGCTTGTTCGATAATAAGAGAGTTGTGTGTGTGTGTTTCCAGAGAGCAACATCATTACAAATACCAGAAAAGACAATGAGTCCTCGTAGCAGATTTTGTTGTGTATTCATTTCCGGTTCATGTCACTCAGATGTCAGGTTTTCTTCCTCATCAGTCAGCGGCTCTCTGGCTGTGAGGTGGGACAGCAGGAGCAGCAACTACACTGACGCCCGGCCCCGTCCCTTCATCCCCATCACAAGCCACCTCCATAGAGGGGGCCTGTGCTGTGCTTACACGTCCCATGACCTCCAGAGCCTGCTCGTCATTTCTACTTGCACCCCGCTGGTCAGGAGACCTGACCTCTCTCAGGTCGCCCGCCACCGCTCTCACAGAGCCCCCCAGCACAGCGAGGGGAAGTGAGGAGCCCGGCCTCCAGCCAGGAGGGTCCGTGCCGGCTGCAGGGTGAGAGGCCTGGTACTGTGAGAAAACAGAGACACACTGTGCCTGAGATGGACTGTATACCTGGACTCCTACAGTTTACGCTGCTCACCAGTGTACAAACAGCAGCACACTATTTTCTACCTGCTCCGTGTGCTCACAATGTGATAGTTTGCTCTGAGGTCAAATGATCTCAAACTCAGCTTTAGTGCCAAAATAAAAGCATGATTCAGATGTGCACATTTCTTCTGACTCTGTATTAGAATCCAATAAATTCACACATGATGGTTTGCAACTCAAGGCACCAGGTTTGTTTCTGATTCGTAACTATTAAAGTATTATTAATTCATATATTATGATTCAGTTTGTACATCATATACAGTAAAGTGAGGGATGTAAATAAAGGCCTGCTGCTTCTTATCTCAAGGAAATGTGTTTGCACCATCTGACTGGACAGTTTTATTTTATTACTGCAAATAACTATTTGCACTGACCCTCAATAAAATACTTTTTTAAATGTGATTTAAAGATTTTCTGAAACAAATTTTCCTGCACAAAATGTTTTTTTTTTCATTGTTTAAAATATATTCACATTTATGCCATTCGTTATTTATTAGTTATTTACATGTTTTACAGCGCGTTTGTTGTGGCCGCGGTTTTACCAGCTCACACCAGTAACTGGACAAACATGGAAGCAAAAAGTGCACGAAACATTTCTACCCTCGTTTTGCGATCGTGCAAAAAAAAAACGCAAAGTTCAACTGATTTAATTCTCTTAAGTAGATTTTATTTGAGGCCTTTGTCTGTCGCTTTTCGTTTTATGATTGAAATATTACAAAACACGACAAATGACTTTTGTGACTTTTCTTAAATTCACGGGCCTGCAGAGAAAAATTCAGGTCAATATATGTTTGTGTTATTTTATATTTAGGAATAATTCTCACCTCCCACAGACACAAACAGAGGCCTGCTCCGAGGAGAACCCTGTGCTGGTTCGGTTATTTTAGAAATGTAGTTAAAACTCGATTCCTGTTTTGGTTCGTTTGTGTTTTAAATTGATAAAGTGACACATTAGGGAAACGACGGCTGGACTTTATGGCTGTTGGAGGCCAGAACAATGGAAGCGGAGGTGAAATGTGCTGCATCTCAGGAATTTATGGTTTTATTGTGTCTGTAAATGTCGGAGCTCCTCGGTGGTGGACATCACCACCATTTTTAAAACGGAGAAAGGCAAAGTAAGTCACAAGGAGGTGAAACGCGTTTTCAAATAATTTTTAGCAGGACTGGGGACGTATTTCCTATGAAGCTCGACGTGGATTTAACGTAATAATAGAAAGGTTTTGTGACCTTAATTCCCGTCAGCTCTGCATCTTTGGCCTGTGCGGTCAATATTAAATCGATCCTCCATTTTGGTCCTAAAAGGAGTCCGTGTCTACACCACAGTGTTTACGAGGCTCGGTCATCTGCGTTTCCATCTTCTACCACTTAACTCGTTAAATAACTGGGTCACGTTGCTGCTGCGGTGAGAGAACCGTAAGAAGCTGTACACACCTTTAACCACCCAGAACAAAACCAAGTGCACGTCCAGTACAATGTCACAAAATCCTCCTGCATTTGCTCACCCTTTCCCCCTCACCCAGCATCACATTTACACATTTCAGGCCTTGGAGAAAATAAAGATGGCGGCGAGGAAGCGGGTCTAAAGCACAAAAACGGCTGCTGTTTATGAAAATTTACAACTTTGCCATGGAAGTTTACGACTCGCCAGGCTCCGGGATTGGCTGCAGCCGGTCATGTGGACAGTAGGAATGGGAACTTATTTCCCATGAGGTTGTATTGCAGCTGCTGTTTTCCACCGCTCATTCACTTAACACTAGTAACACAAGCTTTTCTTGGCTCCATGAATATGCACCACGCGTGTACAGTGTTGTTGTGAGAAACTGGGTCTCTGTACGCGCGTAATTCCTCCAAAAGTGGAAGATGGAGCGTCTGCGCAACGCCACACCGTGCACGTCATGTTAATGTGGCTGCACTTGTGTTGCCATGTGTCCGTGAAAATGAGGAATCAGCAGACTCCTGGATGGTGGTGGGATTACTTTCATGAAATCACTTGAACAAAGTGGGAAATTTGGAGGAGGAGGACTGAGAGGCAGCGAGCGCAGCCCGAGCGGAGTGGCACCCACACTGGAGATGATGAATTATCAACAAAGGTAAGGGCACCATGTTTCTAATATGCCAGCGATTAACTCAGCACAAGTGCGCTGCTGCAGCTCTGTTGTGGATGGACTGTCACTGTAGGCCTGCTGTTTATGTTACTGGAGATGGGAAGATTAGTCTGCAAGAAATGGCAATTATCCAGGCTTCTTGGTTTTTTTTTTCTTTGCTGTGAGCGATTCACAACCAGTTGCTGCTTTTAACCCGTGACATGCTGCAGAGCTTTCACAAGCGCCAACAACGCACAAGGTTTGACCCAGAAATCAGTGTAAATAGTCACAGTTTCTAGGTTTGAGCTGTTTGCTGGGCTAACTGGGTGTTTTACCATTGGACTGGTTTCGGCTGCAGGCCAGACAGACTTGACTTTGATGAAGATGATGGTGATGGTCTGACAAGGCCTAGAGATGTCTGTGCAGACCCATCCACCCTTTACTCTGCTGACGTGTTATTTTATTTAGCATTTATTTGTAGTTTTACTCTGAGAAACGGGGTCCTTTAGATTGAGGCGGGGTGCTGGCTACAGATCGAGCTGTTTCGCCTGTCTCTTCCCAAAAATTTCATAATGATGAACAAATATTTGCTCTGAGCTATTTTTAATTTTGCAAAAACCTATAGTCAGTTATCACCGCGCATCTGCAGCGCTTCGATACTGCAGGTATCTATAAATCCATCAAGAGGTAGAAACACGTGGGATTGTCTTTGTCAGTGGCTTTATAAGTGTGTGGCATCAGGCTGCAGGTTCTGCGGCCTGCTTGTTTATTCAAGCCAAAAAATAGATTTTTTTTATTATTTTTATTTGAAACTTTTAGATTAAAATGTTTTCTGAACAGATGTTAAAATAAGAATATTTACACCGGGAGCGTTTAGGGTTTTATGCAAAAGCAAAGTGTTTTCAGATGCATATCAGCTAACATCACAGAAATAATTGTCTTCTTAATTTATCTAAAACCTTATAATACAGTCCAGATTCCCACAGTTGTACCAATGTAGTACCTTATTTCGGTATTCTAAATCATTGTTATTAAGCTGGGTCCTTTATTTTCTAAACATGAACGCTAATGTAATAGATAGAAATTGTCTATGTGGATTTATAAAAATCATAAATCTAAATTATGACAATTAACACATTTTAAATGTTGTCTTGTATCAATAACTACCAAGGAGAAGCTTTTGGGGGATTAATAATAACACTATGCAATTAATAACTAATTAAGCAGCTACCATTCATTGACCTGCTTCTTTCTAATTGAGGGCAGTGAATAAATTATATGTAGACAAACATTCGGGCTTCTTTCACACAAAATAAGAGATGATCAGGGAGGGTGAAGGTGATGATGATGATGTGGTGTGAGGAAGCACGTACCCCCCACCCCATTGATTTCAGCTCACACCTTAACAACATTATTGACGCAGTGTTTCTCCACCGATCAGTAATAATCCAGTCTTATAACTGTGTCATGTGCATGAAGAATACAGTCTTTTATTGTTGTGTGTAGTAGTTACAGCCTGGAAGTGACGGTCAGAGGCTGGGGGAGAGGCGCACAGAGGGTCATGTGTGCGTAAATGGAAATAATGCGCAAAGTGTTTGGTATTTCAGTGCGACTGTTTTTCTGTTTTGCATTGTGTGTTTGTGTTTGTGTGTGTGAGTTAGAGTTTGTGCCTCCTCTGTTTTATTGGACTATTTTCGTAAAGGGAACTGCTATTTCATACACGGTTCATTTATGTAGCGTGTTGTTTTTTAGTCTATGGGTCGTAGCATCTGTGTGTGTGTGTGTGTGTGTGTGAGAGAGAGAGAGAGAGAGAGAGAGAGAGCGTGCGTAAAGACCGACAGGCTGGAGCGCTTCATTTCGATTCACCGGGGATCCCTGCGCGCAACAAGAGCCCCACATGGGTGCAATAGTGCAAGCACAGACGGCGGTGATTGGCCAGAGGTTGATCAGATGGTACACGTCCCCTCTGTATTCAGTGGCACCTCACAACACCCCCCACCCCCCCTTTCAGCAAAAACCAAATCTCCGATAAAGTAATGGCAAAACCACTTGGACTATAAAAGACAACAAATCATATTCCTCCGGAGTATATACACCCAGTTGTCCACCCAATGAGTTCCTATTTTGTTAACTCAACTTTTCCCGTGTCTCTACCGGGAGGACAAGACTCTCTCCTGGGTCAGATACCGTTATATTCCTCGGGATACACCGATCCGTTAAGACACTACTCCAACGCGGCTACATATGGAGCAGCCAACATGCAGGAGAAGGTTTACCCGGGGTCCTACTACCAGCAGACGGGCGCAGCGGCCGCGGCCATCTACGGCCGGGCCGGCGGCGGAGCTACCTGCGACTACAACCCGGTCGGGACCTTCTACAAGGACACGGAGGGCTCGTGCGCTTTCTCGAGCCGCGAGGACCAGCCGCTGTTTGTCACTCAGGAGCATCAGCAGCGCAAAGCGGAGTGCCCGGAGCAGACTGTCAGTATGAGCAGCAGCATGGACGACAAGTCCTCCACTCTGATCTACCCGTGGATGCAGAGGATGAACGCCTGCTCCGCCGGTGAGTACAAACGTTTAACTCTGTTGCTGTCACGCTGCCCAGAGGTAAAAGAGCGCAGGAGTTGTTGAAGTGAGCGCCCCGAGCCTCACAGCTGCACGTCAGCCCTGGGAAGCTTCACACTGATACTGAAGCAACAAAACACCCAAAGATGTTTGGGAACACAGAGCCCAAAGTTCCACATGCGTTTCAGGGCTTTAGTTACTACATCATCTACACATACATACACGACCACACGCACGCACACGCGCGCACAAACAGTTTGGGCCTACAGCAGCTGAGCTCCAACTTAAAGCCTTTAGCCCCTGTCACATGGCATCTACAGAGCGGGCCTTTTCCAAAAAAAAAACAAAAACAAACAAACAAACAAAAAAAAAACACAGCAACACTTTGAGAAAAGCAAAAGAAAAAAACACAAAAGTCTTCATTTCAGTGTTTGTTTATAAAAAGAAGAAAACGCGCACGTCCCTCTTGCTGTGTAACAGAACAATGTGCTGCTGACACTTTATCTACTACATGCTGTTGCAGCCTGCATTCATTTCTGTTGTAAATAAGATCTATGTAAAGACCAATATAAAGTCACTATAAGGCGGGAAACGAGCACAATAAAGAAACGCAATTAGAATTTATAGTGATGCTAATGAATATTTTTAAAAATTCAATACAAGGCATTGAACGCCACCCTCAGATAGGCCTATACTGTCTGGAGAATATGATGGGAGAAGATTACAGTTAACCACTCTGTCATATTTTTTACTATATATATATAATAAGGCTGTGGTTTGTAGTTGAACTACACTGAATCACCATGTTATTGTATTTTTTCAGATACACCACTACAGATTTTGAGTGCAATTTCAGGTAGATCTTTCTCCTACACATTTGAAATTCACTCAAGACAAACATTTAATTATTAACTGATGAATTTATTTTCATGTTCCAGGCCCATTTGGCACCAGTGGCCGCAGGGGCCGACAGACCTACACCCGCTACCAGACTCTGGAGCTGGAAAAGGAGTTCCACTTTAACCGCTACCTGACCAGGAGGCGCCGGATAGAGATCTCTCACGCCCTGTGTCTGACGGAGAGACAGATCAAAATCTGGTTTCAGAACCGCAGGATGAAGTGGAAAAAGGAGAACAAACTCCTCAATCCCTCGAAGACACCCGAGGAGGAGGAGCAGGCGGAGAAAAAGAGCTAAAAGGACAGAAAGGCATGCGTGTGTTCGTGTGCACACTCCCCAAATAAAATGTATGATTTCTCTGTAAAGTGCTGCAGATCACATGTTAGACATATAAAGTATCTGCACGGTGATAACGTCTGCATTAGATTAAAACCACGTCCTCCACCGTTTGTCCTTGTGTTCGTGTGTTTCTTTAGAGGACTATGCAAAATCTGCCAAATTGTAAATAACGTCGTGTTGTTTCTGAACATGTTACCTCATTCTCGTAGGTCTACTGAGTTGTATTCTTCTAGTTTGTCCTCCTGAACTGAAACGAGGCGGTGTCTTTCACTGTGCATCTTGTGCTGTGCTTGTTCTATATTAGTCTGGGCTTGTTGTTTACAGCTGTGCCATCGACACTCACATTTGTACAGATGAGAAATATTACATGTTATTTATTGTTGTTCACCTGTGTTCAATGCACATCTGGATATTGTGTGCAATATTTTGTGTAGGAAATTGTACATAAAAAAATAAAGGCTTTTTGATGTAGATTGGAAAATGTCGCGGGGTCTTTTGTGCTGAATAAATAACTATCATCATCGTTATTTTTAGTTCTCACTACACTTTACTGCCTTTGAAGTCACATTAAATCTATAAATTCCAATAAAACCAGCGTAAAGATTAAAATAATTTCCAGTTTGACACATGCTGCTAACAGAGCGGATGATAAATTTCTGTTATGTGTTACCTGAGACTTTTGTGGGCCATATAATGGGTGTGTTACATAAATGATGGATGACCCCGGGGCCTGACAGTGCGTCCCGGCGCAGCGCTACCACCTGTGTCCGGAAGATGGCGCTCTCTGCCCGCACGGCCCTCGGCGCGCAGCGGGGAGGCACCATTGACTGGAGCCTAACGACCATTATTTCGTCATCATTTGTATCCATGGAGCATGAATTACCTCTTGAAGTCATCAGTGAGGATTTACGACTGGTCAACAAAGGCACGTGATTCCAGAACGCTCTCCCATATTTGGCCGCATACCTGGCAAAGTACAGTAGGGCTTCATTGCTTATAATTCATGATTGCATCCATAAATCGTGCAAGCACACAGGATTATAGCGACAAAGATCTACAAATCGAGGCTTTAAAAATCCAAGCAAATGAGCTCTTACTTTGTAAACTCGTTCTCAGGGCGCTATCCAAATGGCTCCGACTATCAGTTACTAAATTATGGGACTAACGGCGCTGTGAGCGGCTCCTTCAGAGACCCTGGCACCATGCACTCCGGGTCTTTCGGCTACAACTACAATGGCATGGACCTAACCGTGAACCGCACTAACACCGGCAGCCACTTCGGGGCCATGAGGGGGGGTGGCCGGGGAGGCCGGGGATTCGGGCCGGACGCCCGGTACAGACAGACATCCAACTGCTCGCTCTCATCTCCAGAGCCGGTGCCGCCGTCGTGCGCCACGGCCAGCCGGGAGCCGCTGGAACTAAAAAGCCCCTCTCCCCCGTCTGACCGGAGCACGACCTCGAGCGGCAACAACCTCAACAAAAGCAACAACGCGCACTTCACGGAGATAGAGGACGCAACCGTCGCCACCGAGACCGAGGAAGGCGCACACAGCAGCGGCGGCTCCAGCACGGCACCTCGGGCGCAGCAGCAGCAGCAGCAGCAGCAGCACCAGGAACCCAACGCCACCTCCTCCACCCCCACATCAAATGATTGCCAAACGCCACAAATATTCCCCTGGATGCGGAAACTGCACATAAGCCATGGTATATTTCCACCTCTAATAATGTTTAGTTTTGAAGGGTGTCACGCTGACGGTGTCATAAATCTGTCAAGTGTTGCATGAGTGAGCAGGTTGGTGTGGATGACTGGGGACAGGCAGAATCTGTAAAGTCTTTATGGGATTGTTTGCTTTCGGCGGGCTTCGTGTTGACTGCCGCTGGAGCCTGATAGGGGATGGTTTGTGAAGTGTGCAGGCTGGCTGCCGGCGAGAGCTCGAGATAAGAAAGGCAACGACAGCCTGGGTGTTGTTACGTGGTGTTGGTTGCATGTTTCCCTCCTGCATCAGCTCATTTCATGTTGTCACCCCTCTGTCCATCACACACCCTCACGGTGAAGCCAGAGTCTAGCAGCCAACCCCCTCTGTTGTTGCTGTTGTTCAGTGCAGTTGCTAATGTTGTGGATTTTCTGTAAAATTGTAGATATGACTGGACCTGATGGGAAAAGGGCCCGAACTGCGTACACCCGCTACCAGACGCTAGAGCTGGAGAAAGAGTTTCACTTCAATAGGTACCTAACCAGACGGCGGAGGATAGAGATAGCCCACGCCCTGTGTCTTTCCGAAAGACAGATCAAAATCTGGTTTCAGAACCGCAGGATGAAGTGGAAGAAGGACAATAAACTGAAAAGCATGAGTCTTGTAACAGGAGCAAGCGCCTTCCACAACTGAACAACTTTTACGGAGAGTAAAATAATCAGAATTTAAAAAAAAAGAAAGAAAAGAGAAAGAAATCCATGAGTACTGTAAAGCTATTGAAAGCGCAGCACCTTCCAGCATGCTATTGTGATAGAAAACCAAGTATTCTGTGGTCTTTAAATGCCATTTTTAGTTTCCTGTTGTTGTACTACGATAGCTTAGACGTCCTGTTTGGAAAAATGAGATGTAAATATTACTGGGGGTTTTACCTGTCCAAGCTCTTTGCCTCCTCTCTCTCTGTCTCTGTCTCTCTCTCTCTCTCTCTCTCTCTCTCTCTCAAAGGTGTTTTAACTTGAGCTCTTTATTGTAACGTCTTGACGGTCTAACAGGAGTAAATTCAATGTACAGTTTAAAAAAGAGGAAGTTTCCAAACCACATGCTGCTCTTCATTGAATGTAATGTACTGCGGGGCCATTCAAAGCGCTTTAGTGTAACGTTTCCTGCTATTTTTGATGGTTATCTTGTGGCCAGACCCATGAACTTTCATCAACAAGCCAATGTGTAGCTTTAGGATATTTTGTGCATCTATTATTATTATTATTATTATTATTATTATTATTGTTTAGAGCTAATTATGAGCAATGCAAATGTATTCAACCTGTCAATGTGATAAACTTTGAGTGCAAAGGGTTCTTCTGTGGGTAGGCAGTGATGTAAGCTTTTTCGCCAATAAGCTTTTTGTATTTGTAAGTGAATTCATAGCGCTTGAAAATAAAGTTTCTCTCAATTGCTTTGAACGTGTCTGGACTTTATCAGAACGAACACACACGAGCCCTCGCTCGTATTTAGGGCGTGTTAACAAGTTTGGTCCGTTTCGACCCGAATTCGACTCATTAATGATTAACCTGTCCGAACTGTTAAAACGTCACACGAACAACCAGATTTTGGAGCATTTTCTGATGCGTTTCTCGAGCTTGTTTAGCAGAGACAGAGTGAAAGAGAAGACTTTTTTAAGACTTACCTCCTTCTGAGCTCTTTGCAGCGAGACGCGTGTTTGCCCTGTGGGAAACGGGTTAAAATCCCCCCAGAAGTGGCTTTGCTTTACAGGTATACTGACACGGCTGAAGTTGGTAAAAATCCCCCTAACCAAAGATTGTAAAGGCCTATATTACTTACAGACTGTGAAAAGTCACGTGAGGTCCATAAAGTTGGTTTTATGGTTTTGGGGAGTAGACAATGTACTATATAATTCACAACCTTGAATGAAAGTGACGGCTTAACTGCATGGATGGGCCTGGGGAAGGAAGTGGTGTCCAGTCAGATTTAGTTACTTCAAGCTGCTGGAAAACTTGGGATTTCTGTTGTGGCTGCTGAATTCTGCTTTAAAATATCAAATTAAATATTACAGGTTTTTTTTTTAAATTGTGGCTTATGGGTGAAAATTGTAGTTTTAAAAAATACCATTTCCCCTCATACAGTCTAGGACCAAAAACACATTTGTTCCACATTTTACCTGCAGAAAATCCCGAATTACTTGACATTTCAAATGCTTTGCTATAATAAAAAAAAAGTTGAAAACTGTCCATAGACTGTTTTACGGGCCTGTTTAATTGTGATTAGTCTCGCACTGAAAATAAAGAAACACACAAAGCTCTTTATTTAGCAAAAACAACATGTTTCGGAAGGAAATAAAAATATGATCACTGGACTAATTCGAAGCTGTGTGGAGCAGCCGTGAGCCGAACCTATCTACCCCGGTCCGCCAAGTCACCGAGCGGCCACAGGTGAAGTCCCGGACACCCCCGAGCCGGACACAGCCTGCACCTAGTCCACATGGACAAATCCCACATACTGAGCTATGGTGCAGTGTTTACCGGCCACTAATAAAACATAAGGATAATATCTCCAGGAAACTGTATACACGACTTACGCAGCATTTTTAAAGTCTTTTCAAACTAATTTCAGGTAAAAAAAAGTGAAACCCACTGGCGCTATATGGGTTCAGGACATTATCCACATATTCATAACTATTAAGTGGCAATTTAAGCAGCATAATGAGTGTTGCATATTGATAGGGGTAATCTGTAGCCGGATCTCATGCATAATTCATCGCGCCGGGGATCATCGCTGGGTCAGGAGACGGTGCAGACTGCAGCCGCAGATGCGTCAGGAGGAAGCGCACTGCTGCCACACTTTGCACCGTCACCACAGAGACTCCGCTCCGAATAAAACTGCGTTTTGCATAGTAGACTTAAATATTTTTGTAATTTAAAAAAATCTCTGCAAACAGGCTGTGAGCATTTAACAGACTGAAGTCCACTTTCATCTGCTCTGCTTTGCACCTACTTTGGTTTAATAGTGAGAAAATGTGCACAGAAATTGGGGTAAAATCACAGTAAATGAAAGCACCAGAAAGAATCAAAGCCACCGTTTATTAACCGCACATGGGTTCTATTTTGAGAAGAACATCTATGTGATACAGCTTCAGATTCAGCAGTTAATCTGAATAATACATAGAACGGAGTGGAGAGGATTAAAGTGTACTCATTTGATTCTCTAATTAAATCAAACAAATCAAGCCTCATGTGAGAAACCATCTTAAATCTCACAGCTCTCAAATGGAATTCGCGGCAGTCTTGTTCCTTTGACCCTAATGATAAAATACATGAAACAAAAGGTCACCCTGGACGTTTTTGGGAGGCCGGGCTGTCGTTCACATGTGGCGGCGGACTCCAGTTCCCAGGTGCAATGCAGCGGCGCCCCCAGCAGAGGGCGCCTCAGACCGAGCCGCCTCATGATGGATGGCTTTTTATTTAATCATCGGGGGCATGTGGGGTGCACAGCACAAACAGCGTGTCACTCCCAGCGTGTTTGTCACTTCTGTCTTCGGGTTTGCACGGGCTGAGCGGGGGACTCCACCTTTAGGCCCTGACACCGAGCTGAGAGGCTTTTGGAGGCCGTGGCCTTTACATTTAAACTCTGGATCTGGTTTAATGCAGCCTCAGATTCATGATTTGTTTTGTTTTGTTTTCATAAAGTTCACCATGTGAGATTTTCAGCAGCTTTTTACTTGTCTACAAAAACACAACTTTTTTTTTTTATTCCACTGCATTTTTTCAGATTGTTATTTTACATTAATAACATAAGTTAAGATAATAAAATACAACACATTTTGTTTTGGCTTATAACCTCAAATAAAATCTGTGCTGTGTCTCCTTCAGATGCCTAGAAGAGTAGTTAGCAGAAATATGCCGAACTGTTTTATTTAAGGTCAAATCATCCAAAATTTCACAAAAAACAAAACATTAAAACATTCTAGTTGAACTTTGTTTTTTCTTCTTCTCCTGTTAAATCATCGCACAGTCCCTCAGATTTATCTTGTGACTCTGGAAAGGGGCCAGAGCCATAGGTTGGGCACTACCTGACCTAAACTGGCCAAGTGTATTTCAGACTGCTGTCATATATAATAATGTATCAGTCACAGAGGACGGGTTTCTGCAGAACAAGTGTTTTTCCTTGTCATACTTCCAGTATATTTTGCGCGTAGTTTACTTAAAAAATTTCCAAGAAATGCAAGATTTTAAAAAAATGATTTTTAGATCGTGCTCCTGGCTTTAAGTAAAGGATCTGTGAGGCTGAAGAAAGGAGAAACTCGTGTTATATGGAAACGATTTTACGTTTTAACTATCGAAAAGCCCTGACGCCGAGAGGGACACACCTCACTCACCTGCAGCCGGAGACACTGTGCTCATCATGTTCAACTATTAGAAAACAAACCCGTTTAACAGGAGGTGAGATCTGTCCAAACCCGTGAACGTGTTTCCGCTGGACCACTGGAATGGTTTTAATAAGCATTCCTTCTAAACCACCAACGAGGACTGTGGAGTTGCCAGTTTGACAAGATGAACCAAAATCCACGTGTTATCAACATAAAACATTTCAAACGCAAGACTTTGTGGATTAAAATGACTTGTTTATAACAACAATGGCTTATATATATAAAGACAAATGCAGTTTATGAACATTTGTCACACATTTTATTTACTTATTCACTTTTATAATACGCGTTAATAACTTATTAGCGTTTATAACAACGGGGGTTGACGGTTTCTTTTAATTCTTTCATTACTAAATAAAGAGATAAGCACCGATCAGAAGGATTTCTTCACCAGACCTGGCAACTGGGAACTGATTATAACTGACCTACAAAGTATAAAGCATTAGATTAACAAAAGGCTTCATTTACACTTGATACAAGGCGCCGTATTAGCAGAATGTACTGTTTTGATTTTTAAAAATACTTTTAGCAGCAGTTCTAGTTCATATTTTATCAATTGTATGGTTTGAATAGAAGGACTGTTACGCAGGCTTCGCGCAGAGCCTGACCACCTGTCACCTATACACACCCTGTAGATCCGAATTTGTGTAAATACAACGGCAGCCACAAGTTCGCATCTTGGGGAGTTTGTAGGTGATGACACTTCACCTCGGGGAGAAGAGGAACAAGCCCAGAAAGTAGGCTTTGCTTTCTACAAGTTCGCCAGTGAAAGAAAGTTTGGGAGATGTATAAACTGACCCCAGTAGCTGCTGTGCTCCTGGAAATGAAACGTATATTGTTGAGAGTGGAGCTCTGCCCAGGGCTGCGGGGCTTCAGCTGTCCTGGCTGCGTTTCTTGTCTTTTAGCCGTTGCAGAATATGACATGTGTGGAAGCAGGCGGACGAGCCCTCGGTGCGCGCATTGTTCGCCACACCATTTATCACGTTTTCTTTTCACTGTCTGTAGCCGAGGAGGAGTTGTGTAGTTTGCAGAGGAGTGTGAGCAGGACCGCCACAAACCCACCCCAGTGCCCAGTGCACGGAGACGCTGTCCTGGTGACAAGATGGGACCGCAAAGGAAAAAGTAAGTTTACTAAAGTTGTTGAAAAGTGCAGAGCTCGAGTCAGAGGTGAGGGAACAGTCGTGTAGCAGGCGGGAAACCCACCATGAACACGTTTTAGAACACATCGGGGCATCTTAGGTGTATTAACTTCCACTGTCATTGGTTATCTGCTCACACTATGTTGGCACATATTGATGGATATCTGCTAAAAACCACACTATACTGCGTTATAAACCATTTATTAAATGTTTAAATACTGATTTTAGACTTAAGGCCACAATAGCGTGACTGCAACATTTACTCAACAACTGTACTGAAGTACTATGGAGGCACTGTGTGTGTGTGTGTGTGTGTGTGTGTTTCCATTTTCTGCTACTTTACTTTTACTCTGTTGCATTTTAGAGACAAAAGGTTTTACTCGACCTTTATTTGATTAGTTTATTTGGCCTGCAAATCCAGATGTCTTTCTTTCTTTGTCCTTTCCACTTACATGCATGAGGGGGTCACAATATTAGGAACCCCTCTGGATGTTGTAATGGATGGCATTTAACTGTCAGGCGTAATGTGCTTGGTGAGTTTAGTGTGTAAATGTTTGCTTTGATGTGGAAAATGATGTTTTCTATAGGTTTCCCCCTTGATTTTAATATTTGTGTTTTGATCAAACATACACACATATCTATTTATCTGCTTAGGTGTGGGGTGGGGAACGAACTTGGTGCCGCTGTTGAGTCCTCTGTGAACGAGTTCAGAGCAACACTTCCCCTGGTTCCTGCAGCTACTTGTCAAGAGAGTTGGCAGCGCACTGTATTTGTCAGCAGGCCTGCAGACTGAATGGAGGGTGGGTGGTGCTCGGTGAGGATGTGGGGGTGTGCATGTCCATCACAGA